TTAAAATTTTGCATGTAGCTTTTTAATAGTAATAGGAATCTATATGCTAGCATTGTTTAAGTATATAGCCTATACGTCTTTAATTGCCACTCGTCATTAACCTTGATACTGACGATGTGATGGCAGGTCGATGTAAAAAGTAATTCCCTCGCCGTAAAACTTTCACTTCAATTTCGTATTTCAATTTCGAAGAAATATTAGTTCTAAGACGATGGCTGGGACAGGATAAGAAACGGAAGAGCCGGTGATCATCGCGTTGAAAGGAGTCTCTTCCGAGGAACAGCGGCGACGTTCCGATAAAATCAGGCCACTTTCACTGCAAAACGGTTAATTTACGAGCAAAACCTCGCTTCGTCGCTCTGGCGCATATATCGCGGCCGGAGAACGGCTATCAGAAAGGAGAGAGGCCAGGGCGCGGCAGGGTGTTCGCTTTCTTCTCGTTCATCGAGCTAATTGACCGCGTCGAAATACGAACATTATAATCAGCATTGTCCAATCCTCTCCATTTTATGTAAACTACATTCAGACACATTAACTGTTTAAATAAAATGAAAAGACAACTCGTTAAACGAAATCAAATAAAATTCTCATACTGTCATTAATAAATGATTGATTAATTAGTTGAAAGTAAAGATTTAAGTCGTTTATCATTTCGTTATGAAAATACTTCTCAGGTCTTCTGTCAGCTCAATTATGGTCTACTTGACTCGTTAATGTTTTATTCCAGCCTTGTCAGCCTAAGAATAGGACTTGGCCTACATTATGGAAAAATTAATCATTCCATACCCTCGCACACTAGCGAAACTTTTCATTCATGATTTCATTGTTCATAATTCATGATTCATTACCCATCAACCTTACATTCCTCTACAAACTTCATTTATTTCTATTAAACTATTACATAACATGTTTATAATATTTTTATGTATTCTATTATATCTTGCCTTATGGTGTGGTATTTAATAAGACTATCTTCACAACAATAATAATAATAAATAATAACCTAATAATAGCGTAAATTTCTAAATATTAATATGATGAATATTTGCAAGTGTGCGTGAAATTTTATCGTCAAGAATTCGACGAAGAAACGGAAAAGCTGAGTCAGGCTGAACGTAAAAGCTCCATATGGCGCAGCTCTGAACCGAAGCAAAAGCTGCGGAACGGAAACGAGCAAAGGACAGGAATAAGGCGAATGGGGTTGCGTGGGAGGGTGGCCAGCGGGGACGTTCACACCGAGAAAGACGACGGTTCACCGTCGGTCTCTCTTTCTGCCTGTTTTGCTCCGTTCGGTTGTTTCTACCGCGCGTGGTGCATTAGTCCGCGACCAGGGGACCTTGGGCGAGAGAAAATAAATAATAGCGAGGCGGCCTTCGCAGTCGACCGCGAGAGAGAGAAGTTAATTGCTCTCCACGCGGGTCCGGCTACTGCTATTCGAAAATAATACCCGATCGCTATAATGGCACTGTTACACGAGACGATTTTCCCTGGCTATTGACCTCCTGCTCTTGATCCCTCTTCTTATTATTATTCTTACCCCTAATCTATATCAATTTATCTTATAAGCTCATCCGAAGCTTATTTCAAGGAAGCAATTTTATTTGATTACACATGAAAGTATGAATGTTTAAAACGTGATTTAACTGCGTGATCTCTTGAACTATAAAACAATGAAGAAATGTTTGCCGAGATGCTACACGGTTCTTCCTTATTACACAACAAAGTCAGTATAAAATCTGAAACGATGAACGACCGACGATTCCCTCTCAGCGTTTTCTTCGTTTTACCGATCGTTAGTCGCAATTTGTGGTGAACGTATCGATGGTCGTTTTTGTTTTAAAACGGAAGACTTTCAGTAAAGTTTATCGGTAAAACGTTTTTAATATCGAAAAACAGCGTAATTCCCAGCACTCAGCGATTTGACAAAAAGCGTGTCCTCTTTTTATCTCGAATTCCTTGAACTCGATGTACCCCATCGTTCATTCAAAGCTTCTCTTCACTTCTTAAAAATCACGTGTATTTATTATTCATATGTTTTACTCTTTGTACACGAATTTTTTAAGTACATAAAAAAGAGTTTTAATCAGTCGTTTACCGTGGAGTAGCTCGTTTAGGGTAAACGAGTTGACGAACAGTCTTCTGCTGGATAACCATTTAAAACGAATTAATGCACTCGCACGGTTTTTGCTCGCGCCATAAAATTCCCCTTTCGATTCTCGCGATACTTACTCTAATTAGAGTGGCGTGCAAACGACATTAATATTTTCTGGGATCGTTCCCGACTCGCGTTGGCGGCATGCGTCGTTGCTCCGGTCGTTGCATTCGACACGATCTTCGAAGTTCATTGAATAGGTTCTTGCTCTCTTAAGCTTTACGACGCGGAGCAGAAGAGAAACGATCGGAACAGTACAAGCAAACGAAACAAATTTATTACTGTATATTTGTGCATGCCATCGCCTCGTTAAGTGAATCTCCAATTTTTTTCCAATGGTTTAAAATTACTGTTTTACGATACCTAAATGTGTATCAATGAAATCAACACTCTCGATGGAAACGATGTTACCAGGAAAAATTATAATTAACATTTCCCAGTGAAAGACCGATGAGCAAGTGGACATGTCGTGTAACAAAATTATCTCTCGGTTTGTTTCCATTTCAAAAACTTGCTGAACCGTGGAACGCATACGAGACATGTGTTATTGTTCCATTGAAATGCGATTCGATCGTACTGGCTCGGATCGGTCGGTGATTTACGTCGAGTTCATCGTTGCCCTCATCGAATCGCAAAAAGCCGCGGAGCTGTATCGGCTGCGCCCAGAACGATTGAACGGTAAATCGTACTCGAATCGGATTGTCCGGCTGCGTCGTCAGTAACGAATACGGCCTCCACGGTTTTTACGCGACCCGATCACTTTTTAGATGCGAGCTAAACCGAAAAGAATTTGACCCGCAATTGGCACCAGGCACCGTTAGCTCAAATCGATTTTAAACGAACATAACAGTAATCAAACCCTGTCTCTTGCCTTCTTCTATTTTTTGTTTGTATTAAAATAGTGTGATGTACTAATTTTATTTGATCCAGTTTTTTAATCAATTTTATTTTGGATGGAAAAAATTCATTAAAGGAAGGGACTTAGAATATTTATATTAATTTTGAATAAATAAAAGGAAGATAAAATTATGCAACAGGATTTGTTAATTTATTATACATACTTATTGTTTCTTATTAATTCTTCCTTCAAAATATTTGTAATGAAATTACAAGTAAAGCTAATTTCAGGATTTGTTAGAATTAATTTCACTAGATTTTAGGGAAAATCGACCTGGCGTGGCACCTTAATTCTCTAGAACATTATGTAAATTGTAATCAGATAGTTTGGTGATGCAATGAAATCTGATTTTCCTCATATTTGACTGTATGAGAGCATAAGTAACAGCTGAATTTGATTTTGGTTTCCAGGTCAAAGGATGTTTAAGCGGCTGTCAAAGTCGAGGCGCCACAGCGCCGACGATGTCGCCCTTTCGTTGTCGAGCCCGGCGACCCTGGACGAGCCCCCGGGGACCGGGACACCGCCGCCGCGGGACAACTGCCAGAACATCAGCCCAGCCGCCCTGCTGAGGGTCTCGAGGACGAAGTATTCCAGGAGGAGCTGCGGGGACGCCACCGCGATGCAAGCGTTGCTCGCGGTGAAACAGGAACAGGAGCAGGACGTCGCCGAGGCCGATTATCAAATGGTCACGGCCGTGCCCGCGTTCATCGTCGAGCACGAGCCCGAGAAACAACGTGGTGAGTCGGTTTTTAATCATTAATAATATTTAGACTGCGGATTTTTAACCAAAATACATTTTTGGTATCAGTTTTAAAAATCTGCTTTAAATAATATTCAATAGTATCAGTCGAGCATTTTTAGAAAATAAAAAGATAATTAACAGTCGCACACAGAATAGAAAGAAAAGTAGATGTAGGCATCAAATTCAAGAAGAAGAAACTCACAAACTAAAGAGAGAAGTTCATG